CACATCAACACCAAGGCTCCACCACGGTCACCGTCGGAGGAAACGACCTTCCCAACACCAAAGAAGGCCGAATAAAGGGGAGCCCAAGTTGAGTCCATCGCACCGCCCCCGGCAAGGCTGCCAGCAACGACCGCCGCTGCAAGAGAAACAGACCTTCCAGCCCTTGAAGTCCTGCCATGGCAAACCGGAGGAGTCGAAATCCACGACGCAGAGAGATAAGCCACAAGCAGCCGGATCTCGGACGACGGACCAGGGCAAATTAGAAGCTGGTCGACATCATAAAGGGCGGGGGTCCGCCGGAGAGGAGGCTCGCGCGGCGTAGATTTGGGGAAAAGGGGCGAGGGTTTTGATTTTAGAGAGAGAATGGAAAAAGTTTGTTGGTTTGTTGTTTATTATACGAGATTTGAGGTGCTAATATTCAACCTAGTTCATTTTTGCATGCTTAGATTCTTGTTAGCTCTTCTTAAAGAGAACTAAGTCATTTTGGCCAAGGTTGGTTTCATTAATATGAGCCATGTTAAGTGTTCTCAAATGATAAAGCACGAAAAAATTATTCTGATTTTAGTAATAGTAGGCGGGGTGTTACAAAAAAACTATTAGCACACTGGTTAATTCACAGGGATATAATGAACTTTTAGTAGGAAAACCTAATTATAAAAATCATACAATCATGATGTTGGACTATATGTTTCTCCATAATATTTTTTTGAAAAAAGTAAACATTTTGCCAAATGCATTAAGAAAAATTTTACAATACTATTAATGTATTGGACTCCAATGGGTATTAATGTTTCTTTCAAGAACGTCAAAAACAAAATGAAAGAAAAATACTCTTCAATCGTTTAATATAAATAAATAAAAAAATTTATGCATTTAGAATGTGCATTACGTATTTATTTAGTTATTTAATTTTTTTTTCATTAGAACTCATTTTTCATATTTTTTGTTGGGTTGTAATATGTTACATTTTGTTTATTTTTGGACATCATTATATTACTTTTTAAAGAAAAAATACATTTGTAGCTCATTTATTTTACACTTTATTTTGTTCCTACAATGATACGTTTAATAAATTAATTAATTTATGTTACTTAATCGACAAAAAATATTCACTACTACGTGCATCACAAGTGCACTTTATTAGTTCAAAATAAAAGTATGAAGTGTCTAACATACTTAAAAACAACTTAGTTATTAAAAAAATCTATACAATGGAAGTTGACAAAATTTACAATCATATATGAAATTATGTCGAAAGCAAAAAGTTATAATCATAAGTTTGTAACCATAAGGATAAACATTTCATTGAGAGCCATGAATGATTTTCACTCATTTCAAAACATCAACAGTTTGTAAGATAAATGTAACGCCCCACTTTGATTTTTAAGAAATTCCGGACTTTCCAAAAATCAGTAAAACATTTTTTGAAATTATGTTCGAAATTATGGACATTATTCACAACATTCACATAGTCTAAGTCTTATCTGGACCCACGGGGACTCATAAACCCGCTTTGCACAAATAGTTTTCATTAAATCGATTCACAACATATTTCACATGTTATTCAGCTAAAACATAACAGCATGAATAAACTACAGTAACATGATATCAATATAAACTCATACTTATGATTATCCAAATAGAGGGGTTTCAAAAAAACCAAATCCAACATTTTCAAAGTCAAATTTGGAATCTACCAACATGTTTAATAATCTCAAACATAAGGTTCATAAACTGCGGAAACTATAATAACAATAAATGACCACCCACTCGTCTTGCCTCGTCATCCGTCACCTGCTTAACCTGCATCCGTGAAGAGCATCCGTGAAGAGCAGGTGAGAGGGAGTACAGTTGGAAATATAGTACTCACCACTATGCATATGAACAATACAAAATATGTTAGGATGATATGGTCGTAGCATGAACATAAACAATAATAACATCATGTCTCATCTCTAGTCACATCAATGACTCTTGCCACATCAATGGCTCACTCCTGTGTATACATCTTTCATTAGTTGCGGAAAGGAGATTCATTACCCTAACAGCGAGAGTGCGTGCCACGCAAGGACACGACCTTTCATTAGGTCTTAAAGAGACAGACTTGGCTCGCAAGGGCAACCGTATTACATTGACGGGGATACCCGTACCGATGGCCATCAAACTCACATCGATAGGCTACATGCTCACATGCATACATAGATTATACCAAAATTTTCAAACACATTTAAACACACATATGCATAGACTTTTTAGAATAACTAACCCACCTGGATATTTTGAACTGAAACTGAGAGTCGTCGCTTAGGTGGAAACTCGAGGGCTCGACTCCTCAGAATCTACATAATTATAAGTGACACTCGGATGAAAAACTAACTCTTAACTTGGTAAACTAATTTATCAATTTGAAGGATTTCCTAGCTTAAGGTTCATGACTTAGATGTTGGAACTCTCGACTCGGATTCTATAAAAATTCTCAGAATTTATTCTTTAAAAAACTGTAATTAGCCTCGTCTCGAAAGATTATTTACAGGTACGGGATAATTTATAAACATGCTAAATATAGCTCGGGATGCTCAGAACTACTCCAAGTAATATTGGGTTTTAAAACATGAAAACTAACTGCTAGAACAATTTATCACAATTTCATTTTACAAAAAAAATTATTTTTCTAAGGCTTTTGGACTCAAATTTTTAAACCCATCTCATGGCACTTAAACCTCATTATACCAGGTATAAAACACCTCACATCAAAGGTCCTAACCTCAGAAAAATTCAGCAGAAATGCAGCTTATGAACAACTCGTTTTCGAAAACAAAAGAGGCTCGCTTTAGGCGGTTTAACACCCGATTTTGTCAACTTTAAGGCACCATAAAAACTCGACATATGAGCATGCTTAGGGGCTGCTAATACTCAGGAAGAACGCAGCATGCACAACCTTCTCAATTATCATAATTTTGAAAAAAAAAAATAAATAAATAAATAAATAAAAATAAAAAGCTCGACCAAGGCGATTAACCCAATTTTCGAAATACAACTCAAGGCCCCTCGGGACACCAACATACCAGGTTTATAAGCTTCTTATTATAGGTTTAAACCTCAGCAAAAATTGCAGCACTCATATAATAATTCATATCATATCTTCGGAGCCCGGCAAGGCTACGAACAAGGCAAATAATATCCCGACTCATCAATTAACTTAAAACCAATTATCCCGACCTTTATAAACTTTAAAAATATTAAAATTCAGAGGCTAATATGACGTCCCTACGAGAGTTCAACACCATAATATTAACTCAAAAAAATTCATGCAAATAACATGCTTTCTTTTCTCAAATAAATATAATCTCCTCGTCATGAAACTTAAACCTATTTCTAAATCCTTCAAAATACTCATGAAAATAAAGATGATGATGAAGCCTTATACCTCCTTCCAAGGATAAATGAAGGCTGAAACGAGAGCGGAAAAACGGTCGACTGAAGAACCCGGAAAACGGCTCAGCTCCCGGCTTTCTTTATCTCGGCTCACCGCTGCAACTCACGGCAACAAGGGGCTGTCCGTGTGACTCAGCTGCTGCTCGAGTGAAATGGAGAGGCCCGCTGCTGCTATGGTGAGGGCTCGCTGCTGCTCGGTGCTCGATTTATTAGACTCCTGGCTGCTCCCGGTTACTCTCGGAAATGGCCCGGCCCGCTGTTGCTCTCAACCGTGCCCCGTCTGCTCCCAGCCCTCCTCTGTCTGTCAGGTGGTGCTCGAAATTGCTCCCGGTCAGAGGAGTTCTCGGGTTGTTTGCGTCCTCGAAATATCGCTGAAAACTGGAGCTTCGATTGCGACCAACATGACCTGCTCGTCAGTCGCGTGATTCTGATTGTCGGTAGTGCCCCGAACCTGCTCAGCCGCAAACAAAGCTCGTATCGCCGTGAATGGTTCGACCTCGCCGCTGGTGGCTCGACCCGCCGGAAAAGAAGACGAACCTTCTCCGAGAACAAGTCGTCGGACAGAGCTCGGGCCGTCGCTGACTGAAATTCGCTGGAATCGGGTGTGCTTGCCAGGAATCTGCTCTAATCGCCATCTGCTTGTTCTCAGTCGGGCCTATCGGGATTTGCCGTCGCTGGATGAATTCTCCCTCAGTCGCCTGAAGTCGGCCTCTTAGAAATTCGCTCTCGTCGTGGCTGCCTGGGGAGGGATAACGAAGGATCGGATGAACGGCCGGAAGCTGCTGCTCATCACGGCGGGCCGCTTTGCTGTTCGGAGATGGAGTCCCGCGGCTATGGTGGATTGACGGAAAGGGCTGAGATTGGCGGTTGGAAGCTGGGATCTGCAGCTGCTCGCGATTTTGCCGGAGAAGAAAGACACGACGGCGTGTGGCGTCACTGGAGGAAATCGGCAGTCCTCGGCAACCTTCGGTCGGAGCTTGTCTTTGCCGAGAAGAGGGAGAGGTGACGGGAAATTTTAAAGAAGAAGGAGATGAGGAGCGGCTGATGTCTCAGTTCCTTAAATAGAGAGGAATTAGGGCTTGAAGGGGAGGGAGATGCGTGGGTGAGCTCGCCGGATTTCATGGAAGCGGTTGAACTGCGACTGATTTACCGATTCTCGCGAGATACGATGCTCTGATGTGGGAAAGGGGGTGCCGATGCTCGATGAGGGAGGTGGGCTGCTACTTTGGGTAAGATGAAATGGATTGGGCCGAAACAATTTTAATCAAAATCGGGCCGAATAAAATTAACAAGCAAGAACCAAGAGTGTACAAGGAGAGGGCCAAAATACTCAACTTATTGGGCCAGAAATAATACTCATAATTGGGCTGGGATTTAAATTGGCATCTATATACTAGTACGTACCCCGTGCGATGCACGGGACAAAAATATTAAATGAGTTATTTTTACTGTCTTTGTCCTGTAAGTATATAAAGCAATAGGGTTATCATCTATTTTTCACCTCTTTTAAGCAGCGTTAAGCGTAAAAAACAATAAGGTTATAATCTATTTTGCATATCTTTTAATCAGCGTGGTTTTTTTAGTTCAAACAATAAATATGAGCATGTCAGGGCTAGCTTGTAAAATAATTAATATATTATCTCACTAACACATTTATACTAATATAAATTTAATTTTAGTATATATATTAATTCCAAAAGAGAACAACAATTTTACTTATTCTTGTTCACCATATAATACTTAATTATTATTTTATTATAAACTTTATTGTCATATAATGTCATTATTATTTATAAAGTTATAGAAGTTGTACGTCTTCTTTTTCTTTTTATTTTATGTAATAAAAAATATTTAATGTACGTTAGTATTATTTATTTACGTAATCAATTTAAAATATGTAAATAAATTTAAAAATAAATATAGTGTAAATAATTTACAAAATATACACATGTTTTTTTAGAACTTAATTTTGTATACTAATTAAACAACTTTGACTTAGAAAATGCCAAAAACTCAATTTCTTCTATGATCAAGATTTTTCTAATTCGCACTATGAGGATTTATAGTTTATTTAGCATACTCTGCAATGAAAATTTATTTTACAAGAATTTAATTATAGAAATAAATCAAAATAAAAAATAAAAAAATAATACAATATACAAATAAATTATAAAAAATAGTTAATATATTTTAATTTTAATTTTTTTACCATTAGTAAAACTATTTAATGTATATGGTCATTATCTCTTCAATAGTAAATTATATTAATTTGAAGAACAATTTATTTTTTATATTTAACAAAATAAAGCTTAAGAAAAAAATATATTGGCAAAGATTAATTCACCAACTTCATTTTGTCTGGTTAATTGAAAAAATAATTCTACCTAACCTATTACGATTTTCCATAAATATTTTTGGATAAAGTGAATATTTGTGAAAAAATTATATTATGGTTAGAACTTAAAATATGGTGTAATATTTATCTTGACCAAAATATTATCAACATGGATCATGGAAATCAATCTTGTAATTTATTATAATGAATATCAATGAAAGTATTACTAATTTTAACAAAATAATATTTATCTTTACCAAAATATTATCAACATGGATCTTGAAAAATCAATCTTTTAATTTATTATAATAAATATCAATGAAAGTATTATAAATATTAATAAATTTATTTAATTAATTTTTATGATCATATCTTATTTGAAAACGTGTATATGGAAGTTATTAATGTGTATATTTAAAAAGTTTCCAAACATAGTATACATTAAATGTTTCCTAAGTTTTTTGCTACTATTTTTAGTAAATAATAATTCTTATTATATATATATATATAGATATATATATATAAGAATTAACATTTACCAAAAATAGTAGCAAAAAAATAGGTCAAAATTTAATGCAATCTATAAATAGTAAGTATTATTATTTTTCTTATTTTTTCTTTAAAACATACAGCATTAAATGCTACCTTAAATTTCGGGCTATAGTCCATTTTATTATTTAAAAAATCCGGCTAAAATTTATTAAGTTGTATGTTTTTAATTTTATTTTTTTCTTAGAAACAACGAACAAAATTAAAATCTCGGTCTCTATATTTATAAAATCTCAATTCAAAATATAACAAAAGTTTTAGAATCTCGGTCTTTATATTTATGCCTTTAAGAAAAATTGAACGCTAAAAATATTCTTTAAATTGCATAATCAATCAATTAATCTTAATTTTTTAAAAATTACTATATTTATTTTTTATTAATACGTATAAAATAAAAATAATTAATTCATCTTAAGATATATAATTTATAATCTTAATATACTATCATTCATTTGGTGTAGACATTTATTATATGAATCATAAAATATTTTTATTTCATAAAATTAAATATATTTAAAGAAAATAAGAAAATTTCTTCGGATCAATCAGGTAATTGAATTAGGGTACTGCCCAGGTTGATTGAATTACTTTTAGATGATATTTAAAATAGTCAAAAAACTTGACACAACTTGGTTGGTCCCAGGTGACTAAGTTATGAATCAGTTCGATCCCACCAAATCGATTATTGAACCTAAATATAAATTTTATATTGAAAATATTTTATTACGTGAATGTGATATAGTCCAAATTTCAAATAATGTATTAACAATAGTTTTATGACAACATGTTTAATGATTTATGAATATTTAAATATCATTTTATTAATATTTATGTGAATAAAAAAATGTTTTATTATAATATTTATTAATGTACATTAAATATAAGGTTCTCAGAACTGGACCGTCATCGAAACGATCAAGCTATTTTATTAAATCATTTGTGGTTTGTTCAAATTTTAATTTATAAACATTTTAATATATATATATATATATATATATATATATATAGTATTTTTTGTAATAAATTTAAACAAAATGTGTTACTTAGATATTTAATAAATTTATAAATTCAAATGTTTAAACTAATTGATAAATAATTTATAAATCTCTATTTTATTTAATATGTAATTTTATTTAAAATAATTTTAAATATAATAAAATTTATTTGAAAAATCGTGTCGATCCTACAAATCCAACCGACTGGTATTGACGGATTCAAAAGCAAATATCTTATTCAAGCTTACTAGACTTGTTATAAATCGATTCTCCATCCATTCGGTCGGACTGTGTCTAACCCGGTTTAATGTGAAAACAATACATATATATGATTAATGTTATTTATATATTTAATTTATAATACAATCGTAATATTGTTTTTCCGTGCATTGCACGGGCCACGCACTAGTAAAAGCTTAAAAAAATAGAAAATTTTTATGCCTCCTACAAGATTTAGAATTAATTGCAACAATACAACCCCAAATAAAATAATTATATCTTTACCTAAAACATCAACATACTTACAATAATGTCTGCTTTCCGTTACCTTATCAGACTAAAGCATCTTCTCTCTCTCCCCATGATTTCCGGCCAATTGTTATAAAAAAAAAAAATTCTTTTTTGATTATGGAATAAATATCTGATACAAAAACGGTTTTGCATTAAACATGGAATTTGAATTTGAATTACTCTCATCATCAGAAAAAAAAAACGATCAACACAGAGAATACTCTGAAAAAAAACTTCANAAAAAACGATCAACACACAGAATGCTCGGAAAAAAAAACTTCATCGACGACGATTTATTGATCATATACCAGAAATACACGAAAAAATTATGTTCGAGCTCAGGTATATAGTCCATATCGAGGTTTATATCTTCATTTTTTGTTAATGATTTTGGCATTCATTGAAAACGAACGTGTATGTGACTTTTTTTCTATTATTAATGGTATATGTGCCCATTTTTTTTTTGTTTGTAGATGGAGCCGAAGATGATGATTTTCATACATTATGGTGGTGAATGGATCATGAATGATTACATATTTATTGATGAAGATAAAAAAAATATAACACATATATAAGAAACACACATATATAAGATGATATACGAGACATATATAATAACAATATATACCAGAAAACAGTTCAATGTTATATAAACATGCATATAACCATGTGTATATACCAGACATATACAATAACAATACAATGTTAGGTAACCAGACATATAACCCTACATATATACCAGAAATATACCAGAACCGAACAATGTCATGTAACATGTAACCCTACATATATACTAGACATATACCAGAACAGGACAATGTTATGTGACCAGGCATATAACCCTAACATATATACCATAGATATAACTGTTATGTATTCTATCATAAAACCTAACAAATATACCAGTTCACAGTAAACACAAGATAGAAAAAACATTTCAAAAAAAGCAACATGTATACACTTTGATATCATAACAATTAGGATTGTCTATCACCAACAAATATACACTTTGATATTATTCCCAACTGAAGATAACTTCACTAACATATATATGATAAAAAAAATAAAATGTGTATTAATAAATCAATTTTTCATAACAGGGAAACAAAATGTGTAAACCAATAAAAAAAAATGTGTATTAATAAATCAATCTCTCATAATAGAAAATCGTCCAAATCGGGAGATGAACTAAGCATTTGATCTCTAGTCTTGCGGACGGACTTCCGATTAGGTTTAGGGTTCATATTTTTTTTGAAATTAAGTTTTTTTTAACGATTTTGGGTTTGAGTTTTGATTGAATATTACGAAGCCGTGAACTCAATCTTATTTGAGGAGTTTCGTCGGCATCATTGGTGGTTTTTTGTCGACAAGGTCGTGAGATTTTCGTCTTGGCCATTGTGGAGAAGGAGATTGTGGCGTGGTGCGGTTACTTTTGCATAGATAATGTGTTGCGGTTTTCAAGAGTGCAAATCACATTTAATTGATAAGGATATAGGTTAATAATAATTATAAGCACAAATCACATTTAATTTGTCCTTAATTACCTTAACTGACAATGCTAGTATATCAGTAATATTTTTGCCTTCAAATAGCAATTTTACAAATAAATCTAATTGAGCTGTAAAAATGTTATATAAATGGTTTTGAATTGTAGAGGGTGCAAATTCCTCAAAAAAAAAAAATCGTTATGGGCCGAAATAAAATGTACGCGATTAATCCAGAAGTCTTCGAACAAATCGACGAACGACGAATATTAATAAAATCAGCAAGCATAAAAATATATAAGTTGAGCGACTTATTAAAATAATTAGACGAGAACATCCAATTAAATAATAATAAGTCTAACGGAAAATGTCGAGTAATAATACAATATGGACAATTAATTCAAATAATAATAATAATACCAATAAATAATATTCGAAAAAATCCAATATTCGAACGGTTTAGATTCCAATTACGCGATTAAAACCGAAATCGCCGAACGACGAACGTCTTAAATACCTAGTAAAGTGCACGTGCGATTCACGTGGTGACGAATGTTTTTTGACGATTAATTTTAGTAAGATAAATTAATTAATTTATTAAACATATGATTGCAGTAAGAAAAAATAAAATGTAGATTAAATAAACTCTTAATTATTTTTTTTTCAAAAATAATATAATGATGTCGCAATATAAAAAAATTTAAATAATATATTACAACCCCAACAAAAATATATGAAAATGAGTCCATAATAAAAAAAACACTAAATAAGGACCTAATGTATATTATAGATGCATGAATTCTTTTATTTATTTATGTAGATTCAAGAGTGATTTTCTTTCATTCTAATTTGATGTTCTCATAAGAAACATTTATACTCGTTGTATTCCAATACATCAATAGTATTGTTAATTTTTTCTTAATTAATTTGGTAAAACGTGTGCTTTATTCAACACGTAGAGATACTTTAGCTAAACATATAGTCAAACTTCATGATTGTATGATCATTATAAAGTATATTTACTAACAGTTCATAAATATTTCTGTAATATAACCAACTGTATCATTAGAGTTCTTGATACTTGTGTCATTAAAATTCTTGATATTTTTTTTAATCATTGTATAAAATACTATATTACTCTCTCTCTCTCTCTCTCTCTCTCTCTCTCTCTCTATATATATATATATATATATATATATATATATATATATATAACAAATGGTACTTACTCCATGGGGTAAGAACGAATTTAATCTCTAAATAAAAATTGATTTTCCAAAATCATGTACTTCTCCGAAGTTGCTAAATTAATTTTTAAAAAATTATCACACATCACATTAAAATACGTATTCTAAAGTAATTGTACATATGATCGAGCACAATACACAATTAAGATAGAGAAATTGGTACTTACTCCATGAGGTGGAAACAAATTTAATCTCTAAATAAAAGTTAATTTTTCAAAATCATGTACTTCTTCGAAGTCGCTAAATTATTTTTTAAAATTATCACACATCACATTAAAATACGTATTCTAAAGTAATTTAACATATGATCGAGCTCAATATACAATTAAGATTGTAAATATTCTATCAAAAGTGAACTTATTCAATCATTCAAAAGTAATTTAATCATAATCAAACATTCCCTTTTCAATGTTATTTATTTGGACGATAGATGAACTACATAACCTATTATTTGCAATTTGCATATCATTGAACATTTTGGTTGTTGCAATGATTTTAGAGTTGTTTATCATAAAACATTTCACATTCGTTTGGATTACTTGCAATATTTATGTGTCTAATAATTTATTTATTGCATTTATTGTCCACTTTTTGTATCATAACTAATGCTTCGAAAATTCAAGATAATGATCATTTCTTGATTCTTCAATAATAACAAAACAAAACAAAACAATGAGACAATATTGAGACGCATATTATCTGTCAAAATATATTAGATGAGAAGAATTTGAATTCTATTATATTATGATACTCTTAGTCATTTGTTAACTTTACTATTATGAAGTTATTATTAAAGTTCCTGGTTTATATTATTATAATATCGAATCACTATTTATGAGAACCAATTTCTTATGGATAACATACATTTAAATGCTAGCAACAAAAAAGTAGTAATTTTCAAAGATTTTTGTTTCTTAATATTGGTGTTCATACTTTTCTAAAAAAGTTATGACCGTTTCTTTTCCCTATTGCATTACTATTTGTTTTATTTGTTTTTTATTTTATTCACAAATAATATTTTATTTGTTGAAAAAATTAGAGCACATTTATACACATTGAGTTTTTTTTTTTTTTTATATAGTAATCATATATTTGATAAAAATGTACTTTTATATTGTTTATAAGATTAAAAAGTTTTTGGATTTTTTTTTTCCATTGATGATAAACTCCTAAGTAACTAATTTATTTTCATATCCACAAAAAAATATATTTTTAAAACCATTATGGTGTTCTCTTTCAAGCAATAATTGCATAATAGTTTAACATACAACTCATTTATTTTTTCTTTTAATTCATATAATTAATATTGGTAATAGATGTACGTTTACATCCAATTACATTTTTTTCTTATTATTGAATATTTCAAATCTATGTAAGAAAAATATACCACAAGTTTATCCAATATTATTTTATAATTAATAAAATTGAGTTAACATGGATCTATAAATTGGTATATATTATTTTAAATTGCTCTATGTATATATATATATAT